TTACCATGCCAACCCAATACAAGACTTTGTGTACATAGTAATTAAAAGAGGTATGTATTTATTTATTTATTCAAGCACCCTAAAAATCTTAAAGGACTCAGGTCTGGGACAGGTTTTGTTTTCTTGCTCCTTTCCCCCCTCTGCCTCCCCCCCAGACAGGTGGGGTGAAATGCTTTTACTGTGCCTCCAGGGTCTTTTATTATTTAGAGGTCTGAACCTGAAAGGTACTGCGTGCTCTCAGCTCTCATTGACTTCAATGTCAGACAGTCCTTCAGGTAGCTTCAATGGAATCTGAAGGAACAGCACATCCCACAGCAGATGTTCCCCCCACAGAACATCTCTGCTCATGCACCCCATCTTCAGAAACACCAGGGCCTCAGCTGAGATTCAGCAGAGCTCTTAGGTGTCCGCTTAAGTCTATACTTAATCAAACACACTTCAGCAGGATTTAGCTACATGTCTAAAAATTAGCATGTTCCTAAATATTTTACCTCCCTGAAAGGACAAAACATACTTTTTTATTTTCTGTGGAAGGTATGAAAATATGTGCTTTTCTTTAAATATCAAGCCATTGTTTTGAAAATAAATAAATAAACACATAGGTTTATATATTCTCAGCAGCTAAATAGCCTGGACAAATCCCCTTGTCATTTTCTAAAGCCATCACAATTCATTTTTGCATACATACACTTCACATTTTTTGTTGTGGCAGGGATGCACATGGAGAAACTGAATAAACCCGTATTTGTGTTTCATCAAAGGGAATGGCTTTCTTTAGGAAAATGCCCCCTCACACACCATCTGACACTGGCTTTCCAATCAAATATAAAAAGTAAAATCAAACTGTCCCCACCATCTGTGACAAAGTCCCTTTAATTCTTCAAACACTCCTCTGTAAAATGTGGCTATTAGTAATGCTACATTTATACATTAGAGTTGTTTTCTTTCATTTCTGATTGAGACAAAATCATTGTATTATTAACCCAGAGAAGTTCTCTGTCCTTTTTAATTCCAGAATAATGAAACTCATTGGAACTTGGCGGCATTTAGTCCTGCTGACTAATCATTGGCATTGGCTAATGGCAATTTTTAATCAAATCTTATTATTAAATCAGAATATAAAAGATTTAGAAAATGCAAGGTTGCAGCTAGAGGTCATTAGTCATGAGCACAAGAAGTAATCAATACAATTATGGTTGCACAAATTGTGTTGGATGGGCCAGGTGGCACAGTGTGATAATGTGTTACCCTTTCACCTCTGGTGTCCTGCTTGTATCGCAGATAACGGCAAGCTGGTTTCCATCTAATCTCTGGTGGATGCTTGAACATGCAGAAACCATTAAAAGGAATTCAACAAAATGGAATAAATTCAATTCTTTGTCACACTGGTGCAAATTTTCAGTGGAGTCATTCCAGATTTATACTTGCCCCATTGGAATTCGTTTAGCCATCTCCTTTTTAAAAGTAAGTTATTGTATTGGGTGGTAGTGATGAGATGGCAACACTCACTTTACAAACCTATCAACAGCCTAGTCTACTGTTATTCACTGTAGCACAAGTATGGAGTAATTAAAATAAAGTCATTGCTGATTTATACTGATTCTAATGAGTGCAGAGCTGAATTGTTGAGCAGTTCCTTTTCATTATGGCAATGTGATACTGAGGTTGTCTTATTTTGTTTGTCTTAGGAACATATTTAAGAAAGCATCCTCAGGAAGAAAAGAGAGTAAGAAAAGCTAAAAAACTGAGAGTGTGGGTAGCAGGTGGAGCTACAAACAATCTGCAAAAAAGCTGCACTTCAACCTAATAAATGAATTTTCCATCTCAAACTGGAGTTAGCTCAGTGGCACTAGAAAGTTTACACCAGCTGTGAATCTGGCCCTACTGGCAAGTGTTCAAGCAAAAATACTACTGCCAGTAAACATTTACTTTCCAAAAGACACGCTTTTATTTATCTCCTTTTAACAAAATGATTGGCTCAACTCCAAAATTAGGCAATTTTTTTAAGGATTTCACACATGCACCTACCTGGACAAGGGGTGCTGCTCTCCTACCCCTCTCATCAGGGAACATTATTGAAAAATGCCTGGTTACCAGCAGAGGTTGATGCCTGGGGCACGTACACATGAGGAGGAGTATTACCTTCACTGGGAATTTCAAAATTTCCTTAAATACTTATCTTGGAGATCATTTTCTCTTACAAAAATGCCATCAGTTTCACTTTGTGTCACTATTTCTTGCATATATCTACACATCCACCCTCTAACACAAACAAAGGAAATTCCAACACTGAACAAATACTGTGTTCACATGAAGGTGAGATTTCCTTATGAAAGCCTGACAGGCCAAAGAAGTTAGACCATCCTGTTTTGTTTTCTTTAATTTTTGCAAACAGTGAAAATAGGTCTTTTTTTATACATAAAGCTTCATCCTGTGTGCATTCATGTACATATGAATAAGAAATAAAAATTCACACAGCAAGTTAACTACCAACCATACAGACATAATTGCTTTTGGAAATATTGTACTTGAAGACATTTTTGTGTCAGCTGTATGTGTTCGGGTATCATCATAACATGGTGTTTACACCAGATTAATACCATATGCTGTGTGGGACTTATGTCAGGTTATAAATGGAAATACAGTATAATATCTGAAATTCAGGAGTGCGTTAGAGTCTGATTTCTTTTAAAGTGCTGCTAATCAAGAAGAACATAAGTTTGAATAACATTACTTTTGATTTACGCCACTATAGTGTGGATAGAACCAGCTGCCTTTAACTTTCATTAAACAAGTGTTAAAATTATCACCAATTAAAACTGTTTCTACACACTATTAGTGGACTTGTAACCTCATTAAGGCAGCCAGGAGTGCTGCCACAAAACCATGGTGAGCCCTCAGATCCGATTAGAAGAATTTTTCTAGCTTTTTTTTCTCCCCAAATGATGCCACTTTTCCATGTCTCCTCTAGGCCTCTTGTGAGTCCTGTCAACACATTTTAGCTCAGAGCTGAAAGCACTTCTTTAATCTGCATTTTACTCACTGCCTAAGTAATTTAACAGTTGTCGAGCAGGTCAGGAATAGGAATAAAAGTATATAAAAGTGGGGGAAGATGAGGGATGCAAAGAACGTGGCAGAAGTGAGTCTGAACAGAAAGCAGAGTTAAAAACAGACAAGAAAGGCAAATTAAGGAGCACAGACCAAGTACCAAAGCCAGTAAAATCTAAGGAAGCTTTCCACCAATTTTAATCAGACCCCCTGGGAATGACAGTGAGGAAAATTATGAAGGACTTCAAGAGAGATGGCATCATTACAGTAATGGAGCTTAGCAAAAGGAGAGCAGCGGACTCTTTCATGGGCTAGGCTGACCAGGTCCAGGAGCCAGATAACTACATTAAGTCAGCATCATGCTCCAGATCTCAGTCCCATTCTCCGTAGGGCTTGTTAGCCACAATGCCTGGGCAGCACTAGGGCTCCCACGTGGAGCAGCTTCCACTGAGCTGGGGCAGAGAAGAGCTAGACCTCCCATGCACCTCTGCAGACTTGACCCAACTTTCTTTCACATTCAGGCTGCAGAAAATTAGGCAAACACCTGACCCCTTGGCCAGCTTCAGGCTCAAGTTCTTTTGAACAGACCACCCTAATCAGGTTAATGAATTGCGCAAAAGAAAAGTACCACAAAATGACCACACACAAAGTCAAAGCTTTTGAGTTAAATAACATTACATTATTAGATGCACAACATTATATGAGAAACTTTCAGAAAATTACCATATGTGAAAAGATCTCAGAAGTGAAGGGTGCATTAATTCCTCCAAAAATAGAATTCAGGCCTGAGGATTATTTTCATTTGAGAGTGGATACGCATGTTGTGGGACCACAGCTTCTCATGTAAGGAGTAAATTATCTGCAAAATACTCTATGGAGTACTTCCCTGTGCTGCAGTAAGTTCTCCCCTGTATTTTCCATTAAAACATGGTATGTATTCATGTTATTCATTTAAACATTACCTAACTCTCTTAGGGATGACAGATTGCCATTTTGATTAAAAATTTAAGGGTATGCTGTTGATTTGACCCTGATTCATATACTGAGTAGGACGTGATATCTTTTGTGCTAATCTAGTTCCAAGCAGATTAATATATATATATACGTACACACATATATAAATATATGTATATATAAAAAACTGTTGGAGGCTTGAATGTAGAAGGAGAGCATTAACTCTGTCTTTACACAGGACCTATTAATATGAAAATTACTGTAATATGATTAACTGCTTCTCCCAACACCAAAGAGAGTGAGTCTTGAAAGATTATTTTGCAAGATGATAACATTTCCCTATCCAGTTTGTAACCCTAGGGAAAACTGAAAAAATATGGATTTTGAGTTGAACAATAATGAAATGGTAAGTGATATAGCTTTGCTGTCTTATAATGACTGTATTAATTTGCAAGCTGTAGTGCTAAACCAGAATAGAGGTGCTCGAGGAGATATGCCTGTTATCTAGGCAACAGTTAATATGATGAAAATGCTATTTAGAAGCAGCTCCATGTTTTTATCATAAATATAACTTTAATTCTTTGAGAATCTCCATAAAGTCCTGGTAGAATGTAATAAATGCAACATAATCTGAAAGAGAAGACTGTCATTTATAACCATTCCCAATATTAGTTATGGATTTCTTAAAGTTTAAAAGCACTTTCTGTAAGAGAATCTATCCTATAAATTCCATACTATATTACTTTCCCAGTTTAGAAGAATGACTGAACTGTGATAAACAGATTCAATTTTTACCTTTTGCTTGCTTTTGAGTTAGCATGGAAGACCTTATCTATTAATTTGCCAGGGAGAATTTCTCTTCAATGGTGCTCTTTTCCCCAGAAGTGAATTTTCGTGTAGGAAAGAAGTACTCCACGAGCAAATGACAAAATGGAATTATATACAGACTGATGTTTTATCACCAGACTGAAAGTGCAAAGCTTCTGTGAATGCAGATTTTTATATTACAGATATTTATATATGACTAGGTTGAAGGAGCCTTTTTATTCACTGGTGTGGCTATACTATACAGATTTTACATCATATTCACTGAAGCTAAATCTAATTTGGCAAGACCATAATCCACAGCTAATTTTTCTGTAACAATAAGCTAACTTCAGCCTTTGGAAAAAATTGTCTTAACGTTTCTTGGAGGTCAGCCTAGTGGCCCAAGAAATGTAGGACTGAATCAAGCAGTAAGCACACGATACTGAGTTAGCCACAATATTAAGTTCAGACCTCAGTCAGAGTGTCTCTTGTCCAGCTTCCCCATGGCATTCATGTTTTGTCTTGCTTTACTTTGTATCAAAGTGCAAATATGCTGGCACATTCTACACACATCTTTGTTGGGGCAGAATATACTGTCATGAGGCACAGTGAGAAGCAGCAGTAGCCTCTACATGCCACAATACATCACCAAATTTGGTGTAGTGCTGGAAAGGGTTGTCTTATTCACAAGCTGCTGTTCCCAATGGTTCACTCATGAGGATCCATTCCACAGTATCATCTAACATAAGCTATTAGATGCTGTAGGCTGATGTTCAGGAATGAAGAATATTTAAAACAGCATTGTTAGATGGTTGCTTTTGCCTGCCTGCATAAAATAGAGGATATACAGTTATTTTTCTCACTTTTCTTATGGAGTGCTGAATGAACTTTAGGTCTAGACATTGTGGGAAGAGCAGTTCAGAAGCTGGTTTACCTCATAAGGCAGATGCTGTTCGCAACAAGCTGAAGCATGTGATGTTGCTACAAGCTTTGTAGGCAAGTGTAATGTTACCAAATACTTAGTGGTATGATAGAGGTAAATGAGGATTTCCTAAAGGATGGGACCACGGAAATCCTTCCAGGCAAGGACAAAAAGAAACATTCTTCTCAAGGGGGTGTTGACTCTTCTAGTCCTGCTTAAAGGAGAGAGGGACGCACATACAGAGGAGTGTGGTTTACTGGCAGGCTTCAGAGCATGTCTTCTGATGTTTATCTGTGCAGTAAATCATTATAATTTTTTCTCCATATGACAGTGGCACCAAAATGCATGTTGACATGTTGAAACGGAATTCCAGCTCTGAAGAAGAAAAACACTTGGAGCGGTGGGGGTAGAGGAGTGGGGAGGTGGAAGTATGGGGAATGTATTAAAACTAAATTAAAATTAAATTTAAAATTAAAATTGTTTACCTTTTTTAAGCAAATATAAAGCCCCTCCAACTGTTCAGCAACTAAACCAGCAGTTGGTTCATAATCACTGAGAATGTGAATATTATGGGAGAAGATTCTCTCTGCTTACTAGCCACATAAGCAGCTGCTCTAATAAGAAGCTATCTTCCTTTCTGTATATTCTACATGTTGACATGATACTCACAGATTTCTGTACCATTCAACCAAAAGCATTTGCCACATTTTCCTGATATAAAACTAACAGAAAATGCTGGGAATCTGTAGGATATTCTCCCCACACTGGTACTTTCCTTTAAACACTCTCTCCTGGGTTAGGGGAGCAGGAAGTAAGTTTTTTTGTTCAGCTTTGGTGTGCAGAGTCTTATTTTCTGCTCAGATTGCAGGATGTTATGGCATTGGCTATATCAGTATTGTCTGAGTGCATTCTTAAACCCTGTAGCTTTGTGCAGGTAGAATTATGTCTGTAGCTAAATGATAAGGCTGTATCTGCTCTAAATATAATAACATCAGCCAGAGACATACAGATGGCTACAAAAGAATGAAGAGACATCTTGTTTTGCTATAAAACCTAATGCAAGAAATCACAGACTAAATTTTAGCTCTTGAGATTTTCAATCTTTGAACTTTTCAGTTCAAGTTCTTCTTGGCTTTGATAAAATTCAGGGGTTTATTACATTATTTAGGTCTTCCTTCCCCCACTAAAATCCTAGGGCATGAATTAATTACAAATTAAATCTTGGCACAGGTTTCAATTTAAAAATAAACTTTTGTTTTTTCTTACTTTATGCCTTTTCTTCAGGAGATCCAGTGTAGGGACAAGCTTAAATTCAAACAGGGAAGATAATTATCCCAGAAAGGTCTGGGGAAAAAAAAAAAAAAACAACCAATTCTTCTAAGGTTTAAAATACTTTTTGAGTACTCGCTCCCAGCAAGGCTCTTTCAATACTGCTGTTAAAATATAAATGACCATTTTCATTTAGGTTTATGCAAAAAGAATCAATTGTCACTTAAGTGTACTGCCAATTTCTCAGCTGATATAAATCACCATTATTTTAGCTTGCTGGAGTAACACTGCTGTACATTCAGCTCAGGATTTGGCTCCTGTTTTTTATTAGCTCTAACACGGAGTAGCTGGATAAAAATCTGGCCTATCTTTTACAGGTAGTTAGACTAGATGCTCTAATGGTCTCTCTTCTGCCTTTAAAACCTAGAAATCTAATGAAAATTATGTGTCTGTATCAAGGGGAAAATATACCTGTTTACTGCACAAAATTCTTGCACCTCATTTCACAAAAGACATAGGAACCTGGCTATTTCTTAAGCCAGGATTTCTTTTCACAGTATTGATAATTATATTACAAACAGTTTTTAGCACATGAAATTAATAAATCTTTTACTTCCTCGTTTACACCAGTTTCCCATATTGTATTAGTAACCACACATTAGCTAATCAGCAGGTTGAGGGGAAAGCTGCCAAAAGCAAATCTGATAATTGGCAGCAGTCAAACAATCATAGCAGGAAACTTTACACTTCCTGCAGACAAAGCTACTGATGAAGACAATGCTGAGATACAACTTTAGGGATTAAAAATAGGATGTTTAGTTCTTTCATGTTTGATGATCTCTTGGCAAACTGGATTCACATCTCCCAGGAAGATACAGGCATTCTGCACAGCAGTAATATATATGACCACCCAACACTGATTAAGGGGAACTTGTCAATCTAGTGATGATCTAGAAACATTCATGAGATTTCTCTGCTAAATTTTGCAAGCCATTTAAAACACCTTTTCTATATGAATAAGTCCATATAAGGTATAGTTATTACTGTAAAAAGCAAGTGCTTAACACATTTCTCTGCCCAATGTCCCCCTGAGATAAACAAATATCAACAAATCCGTCCTACAGGAAGGAATTTTAAACACATGTCGGCTGAGTTTTAGACCCACACAACACTTTAGGTGCTTCAGATAGGATTTAAACAATTCAATATTCTAAACTTCCGCATATCTATTGTTAGCCTTGGCATCATCTGAAGCTCTCCAAGTGTTTAAACTAAAGTTTCCCAGCTCCCCACAGGGATTCTCCTTCTACGCATAGAAATGCTTCAATTTTTACAGTATGAAGAAGATGGGAATCCAAAGTAGCTCTGACCCCCAAGCATTATCCACAGCTTGGCATACTTCATTTATGTCATTCTTGGAAGCATTCTTGCTAATGTTTTACATCAAATATCCCTCCGTTTAAATACAGTAACAGAGGCTCAGAAACATGCTAAGATCTTCCACTTCTGCCCAACACCTAAGTGACACAGTCTGTCTGGGCCACATCTGTAAATCTTTTTTACAAGTAGGATCAATTTCAATGGCAAAATATGAGATATCTTCACTGCAAAATACCCTATATCTGGACAGGAAGGGTAATTCCAAAGTGGTGGCAGGGGAATAAACATGTCCTAAGAATTGCAGTACAGGGCTTTAAGAGGAAGAACTGCTTCTTTCTATTCACTGTATAAAGCAAAGAGATAGAAGGCACAAGATTATGAATCCTAAGAAGGATTAACTTCCTATATTTTAATATATAGCACCTACATTCCTACAAGGCTGTTATTTAAGAAACACCCTTGGCACTAGAAGCTTTCACCACTTCTCCCTGCTACAGATGTCTGATCAGTGCCTTCCCTTGAATTCTACCCCTCTCATGCCAAATTTTCAAAATAGAGACGAAATCCTAACAACTTTTGAATTAGGCAGGAACCACCCTCTTTAGGTTGCTTTTCTCTTCCCAAGTAAATACCTATTTTCATGAAGCAAACAGGCAGGCCGAAAATTAGGTGTAAGTCCTGAACTTGAAATTATAGCAAAACATAAAATCAATTTCAAATGACAACCGGAGAAAAGTACTATGTCATTTGTTCTGTCACAAACCACCTGTCCACCTGTCTTACTCATGTTTCTACTGTCTATGAATATACAGGGTCCACAATACAGGGTCCTGATCCACACCACAGTCTTCAGGCAGGGAAAACATAAATAAACACAAAACAAATATAAAAATGACAGAAAACTAACAGCTGAAGAACAGTAAGTGCACTGCACTCATTGCCAAGCACCTTATGAAGCTTGGAAATCTTCAAATACAGTAAGAGGAGTTCAGTAAGATGTACAAGTTGTGACATGGGGAGTAGGACGCAGACGAGTAAGGTCCAGTCTAATCTTTGAAACCAGGCTGCCTTTGCAGCCACTGAAGGCTGCACTCCCTGGGAGGTGTACATTTTGATGAGAAATCTGTAGTACCTACGCTGTCTTAGAATAGGATCACCATCTGCTCGTGTCTCTTGAATTTTGCCTCTTTAACAGATCTGAGATGAAGTTCTTTGGCCAGCGTAGGGATCACTAATTCTGGGACTAAACATCATGCCTTCAGCTGGGATACCTCCAGATGGAAAATGAGCAAAAATGAGGCAACAAATTTGCACATTTTCCTTCTACTAAGTGCTGTATCCTTTAAGCTATCAAACATAGCAGAACCTCAAAGGATATTCTTATTAGTACTGAGTATCAAAAGCAGAAGGAAAATGCAGGGTAAAATGCCATCCTTGAGGTAATTCCTAATCTCCAAAAAACTCTCTGGGGGTTTTGCTTTTACCTTCAGTGCAAGCAGACCTGGGCCCTCTGGTGAACCATGTGTTACATGGATTAAATGTTCACTTTTCTGAGGTTGCACAGCAAAATGGAGCTATAGTCTTCCCTTACAAATTTCAGATTTACCATTTAATTAATTGACTTTGGCAGTTGGCACACAACCTTTTTAAAAAAAAAACATTCTGAAATGTCAGCCTTGAAGGGGGGAAAAAAAATCATTTGATGAATTTCATCTAAGTGCCAATGAAAGCACAAATGTTCCCTGTGGACCCGTTACAACACTGGAGTTCACAACTGATTGCTTGGGAATGAGCAAACTAATGCGGCAAAATATTTACTAGCTAAGTAGATGTAGTTTAATATATACACACTTCTCGCCAGATATTTATACCTGTATCTTGTAAATTGTTGAAATCTTCAGACTTGTTAAATTAATTAATTTAATTAAGGTAAATAAATAGCAGTATAGGTTGCTGTTTTCCCAAATCAGAAGTTTCACAGACTAAGTGTTCATTTATGATTTCAGTTTTTTTGTTATTTTGTTTTTTTACAAATGTGAGAAACCACAAAAAAACTTGTTCTCCTGCTTCCTGTACATACATGTTGTGCAAATTAAATATAGTTTACTGGGTAGTCTTCAGCAGTGAACTTCAGGTACCATCTGTACATATTTCTGGCACTATTTATTTGCAATTAACCAGGACCTTATGTTTTATCCCCTGAAACTTAAAAGTCTTAAATTCTGAAGGAGGTAAGTTTAGAAGTGAATACTGAATTCAGCATCAGGCTTTGTAAAGAGCAAAACCTATCCCACTACTCCATATTTAAACCCTTGTGACTGAGAAAGGTTGTTCTTCATCATAGAACAGAACAGAACAGAACAGAACAGAACAGAATAGAATAGAATAGACCGGGGGGGCTGTTTTAATAGCACCTGAAAGTGCATATTAAAGTATTTGTAACAAATCATTAAACTTGATGGCTCAAACACTACACCAGTGAAAACAAGCTCCACTGATGTCAACAGAAAACAAGGACTTAACTGAGAGACTGTACTAATTTACCCCAGGTGACTCAAGGTGTCCAGTCACATAATAACCTTTTCATCCTGCAGACCTTCTCTTGAGGTCAGTGCTTAAAAAGCAGAACCTGTAAGGGAACATACATTGATGTGAGGCACCAGAAACTTTGTTGATGCTGGAGACCGTTTCTTCTCTTCTTTCACCTCACCACGCTCATCCCACCCCACCCACAGAAACTGCACATCTTGAAACCTGCAGATGCACTCATCTATCTGCAGAGACACACAGCTTAGGGAGAACACTTGAGCCAATGCAGCAAGTTCAGAAAAATCCCTCTATTCATAAAATCATTTGAATTACCAATGTGCAGCTTCCCTTATGAGAAGCAGTAGTCGAAGATATGTCAAAGAGGCAGAGCTATGAGCCATAGTGACATTTTTAAGAAAGGAACAGGCAATAAAACACAGATTAACTTCATCACCTATTAGCTAAATCACTTCTCTACTTCTGAAAATGGAGCTAAACTGCGCAGGCAGCAACAGCTTGTGGCAGCATGGTGCACCCCAACTCTTCATAGCACTACTTTCACTAATGTTATTTCAATGTCCTCAATGCTGAGTGATAGGTGCGTTAGCACCCTTCCCAGAAACACCCACCTGTGATGGTAAGATTGGCGGAAATGACTCGTGATGCTGAAAATATAAACATTTCATCCCAGACATTGGTCACATTCTCCTAATCTGAGTGAAATTCTCTGAAACCTGCTAGTATGTAAGTACCTCTGGGTGTGAGCATGTATAAAAGCGAGCGACGGAGTGGGTGGGGAAAATATGTGTGGTACAGAACAAATAAACCAGAAAACCCCAACCTTATCTCTTTCCATGCACAAGGAAAGTCTATTTGTGTCAGTGCAAGTACTTCTGAAGCAAACAAACAAGACAAGGGGGAGTAAATGACCGTGTTTTCCTCTAGTATTTTTATAGCATCCCTGAACATTGGTATCAACATATTGAGAGGGAACTAGTGAGTTGTACAATCAAGAAGATATGAATAAACATCAACATAAAACAGTGAGTCAAGTGATAAGGATCACTGAAACTTGATTGCCTGGTTAAATTAAATCAGGACAGGGGAAAATAAAACTAAATAGGTAGAAGAGAAAAAAAATGCAGCCAAACTCCAAACCACTGGCCTCACCATTTCACAGAAATAAGTTTTACCATTTCTTGGCACAAATTTACTGGAATCGAGAGACACAGAAGCTCTGAATTCCCCTCCTTCTTCTCAGGTTCATTAGCACCCAAGAGCACAGTGAGGAAGCTGGGACTAGGAAGCAGTGGCCCTGATCTGAACATCTCCCCACTGTGGTCATAGCAACTGCCACACACATTTACACGTATGCTTCATATATCATATGGATTACAAAACAGAATACCCGAAAGCACCCTTCAACACAGGAACAGTTTTGCTGCATGAGAGCAAGAGTCTTTACAGCTTTTTATCTCATTTCCAGCAATGGAGCTATGGAAGAGCAAAAGAAGAGAGCAAATATAGATCCTCCATTGGCTCACACATCCGTTCATGATGTGTTGCCAGGGACTCACCAATAAGATACTTTAATAGCTCTCAATGGGTTTTTATTCCAGGAACCCATTTAATAACTTTCCGTGTACATCTAAACTTTTTTTTCCACTCATGAAATAATGAGTTGCACAATCTAACTACACAGCAGGTATTTGTTTCAAACCTAACATCCAGTAATTTATATTGACTTCTAGGTCCAGTGCTATAAGAAGGTTTTAATAATAATTCTTTATTCAACTTCCCCCACCTGTCATGATCTCAGAGATTCCCATCACTTCCTCCTTTCACACTGAAGAGCCCTAGCCTATTTCATCATTTCATCTGAAGAAGCTGTTCCGCACATTTGACCACCTTTTCCACTTAAACCTGAGATGAAACTTCTTCTCAGTGAGGGTGACGGAACACTGGAACAGGCTGCCCAGGGAGGTTGTGGAATCTCCTTCTTTGGAGACATTCAAAATCTGCCTGGACACGTTCTTGCGTAACCTTATCTAGGTGTTCCTGCTCCGGCAGGGGGATTGGACTAGATGATCTTTTGAGGTCCCTTCCAATCTCTAACATACTGTGATACTGTGATACCTTTCTTTCTCTTATCTGTATTGAGTCCTAAGCTGATGTTTTCAGAGAATTCAAAGGTTTCTTCTGAGTGGTAAGAGCAAGCCCAAAAGCTGTGTATCTAAAATTAGCACCACTTCATATTTATTATCATCTAATATTATCTGACATTTTATCACACAGTCAGTCAGGGTCATCGTATTCCTCTGCCACTATTTTTCCTAATAGCTTTGTATTATTTGTAAGCTACATTACTTCGATATTTCTTTATTCAGATCTTCTAACAGGCCCTTGCATATGTCTTTGAGGGACATCACTGATGAATTTCTGCTGGAAAAGATGACCATTTATTCCTATGCTTTCAATTAGTCCCTGCAGAGGAACAGAGAACCGGAAGAACAGGATGAAATAAATGTCAGAAATCAGTCTATCACACATAAGTGATGGCAGTTCTGCACAGCTTCTTTATTGGTACTTCTTGTGGCATCTGGGCCATATGGTTCACAAAATAAAGGTTCCTTCTAAAATATCCTGCACCACAAAGCTAAGGAACTATGATAACAGCTAGGGTACAAAGTTAAAAAAAATCTTTCAGCTTAAAACACTTCATTAAACTTCTTATTAATAGCTCTGGAAAGGTTTTTGTATTGGGCTACTGTCAGTTTTCCACAAAAGCATCTGCTTCTTCTGAAAATAATGATATTCTTCATAAAATACCTCCAAACTCAAAGTGCCTAAGCTTGGAAATGATGCTGTGGTGGTGACTAATACCAGTTGTATGTTATTTGCCTTATTTCCTTCCCTGTGCACAGGGCTCTCTGAATACTGTTTCTCAGGATGTATCATGGCTTCAGACTTCAATGATGGAACTTCCAAATTCAGTCCCTGCTCTCCCCTTCAAAAATAGCTGCAAAACATATGCAGAAAACCCAAATTCTCACACTACTTTCAATTCTTGTGCTTTTTTTTTCTGAGCTGAATAATTTTAGAGTTCAGAAGAAAGCTAATATCTGGGATCCAAATGCTACTGAGAGCAGTTTAACCAATAATTTGGATGTACATTTTTAGAAAGGCTGAACTTCCTCCTTCATTTCCATTTCCTCCTCTATAGGAAGTGCTAGTATACCCATTTGAAGGGAATGGACATTCGCCATCCCATTTCAGTTGCTGAAATTATTGATTTTTGCAAATGGTCAGATTCCTCTTGGGACACTATATGATCAGTAAGCTGCACTGTCAAGCCATAAAGTGATACCATAATACAGATTAAATAAGCATTTTACAATGCAGAGGATGCACATATCTTACCAGGTTAATTGTTCTGTGTTTTCCAATATCATGATTCTGGTTTTCTTCTCACAAGAATAACCTGCTTCATTTACGATAAAGCTAACAATCTGCTTTTGCTCTGTAGATCACTGCCTGCAAGGACCCTTGAACACTTCACCTGCCAGGATCATATTCCACAAAACTGGTAGTACTTCTTGTCTCCATGTCTTAAGTCTTTGAGATGAGCCTAGGTAGCATGGAAGTGCTGGCCAGAAGTTATCTGGAATTAGGTGAATTGAAAACATGACAGAAACAGATCTGTGACCCCTGCCTTCTCTGTACCCTACTTTTCCTTTTGTAGTGAAACACGGATTTTGCGTTGGTGTTTTTTGCTTTCAAAACACTTCTTTTTATACACTGCTGACTTCCCAAGATTCTCTTCTTTGCATGTCTTGTGCCACAAACCAAAAAGAGGAAAGGAAACTTGGTCTTTCTGGGGGGAATATTTTTCCTTCAAAAGGCACACACCAGCAGCCCAGTAGCATTTGTATTTTCTTAGGGTTTTTTGATTAGTCTTCAATAGAAATGGTCAAAATGCACTCAGAAGGCCTGGTATGAGGTTATTCATCCCATCATCCATCTCTTAAATATATTAGTATATATTCCTGATAGTCTGTGAAGTGGCAGTATGGCAATCCTCCCATTTCCTTCTTTGTCCATAACTTAGTAGTTAAACACAACTTAGGGGTTAGACATAACTTAGTCGAGCTAGAGTGACAGTCCCAAGAAGCAAAGAAGTCTAGAAGCTATGCCTGATGGTGCCCAAAACTCAGGGCAAAATAAATCCACAGAGGAACTCATGTTTTGAACACACGGTCCTTTTACCACATCTGTGCCATAACCAGCTCCTTCACCATTTGCCTTGCCAGTCACTCTTGCAAATTCATGGGAAACATAATAAGCAAGCATAATATGGCACTGGAAAGTTTCTGGGTGAGGTAGGCAACTATCAGTTCTTTCTTCAAGCCTGGCATGCATGAGATTTATTCATTAATAAGGCTTAATTGGTTAGGCTCTGCATTGCCATCACAGTATCTACACACAAATTCAAGATGCTTCTGCCAGACATGCAGGGTCAAGGAGTGGGAAGAAGGGCTGTGGGCAGGGGCCCCATGGCCAAAGGAATCCCTTGTGAGAGAATATTCCACTATTGCAGACATACATACTTCCCTTCTGCACTCAGGCAGAATAGACAGCTTGGAGGGTCTTTCATAAATTTTATTTATTTGGGCCTGGTATTGGTTACTTATGTAGTCCCTTTTATAAAGCACTCTTTTAACAGCAAGGACTGTGCTTGGCATAGCAAGCACTTAGCCCCTGCTGCTGTATGGACGTTACTGCCATATCATAATACCATTATTCTGTAAAATAAAGGCAAACTTTGAAAATAAGTAGCACCACTTCTTCTTCACAGTTATTTTTAATGAAATGTCCTTTTCATGCAGTGATTTAACTCCAGTAGGACTACCCCAGTAAGTAAGATCAAGCTCTCATAAGAACTTTGGAGGCTAAGGCTGCTGATCTTGACAAATTACACAGTGTCATAGTATTGGTGTAGCACAGCAATACCCCTTGCATTAGTGTAGGAGGCAAATAAAACCATTGCAAGGGTTTGATTTTCAGGTCCCCTTTTGGGGACCATCTGCCTTTATAATACTA